TTGAAGGGGTTAGAGATTTGGTTCTAGGCGAGGATATCAGACGCAAGAATCAAGGTGGATCTTCCTCTTCTGATTTATTAAATGTCGGAAGAGGTAGAGGGAATAGCAGGAATAGTGGGAGCAGTGGGAGTCGGGGAAAAAGTTCTTCTAGAACTTTGAAGAATGTGAAATGCTGGAACTGTCAAGAAGTGGGACATGTTAAGAGTCAATGTCCAAAGAAAGAATTGAACATTGCTGATGCTGAGAATTTTTCTGGGGATGATGCATTGTTACTCAGTATGGAAAGTTCTGTAGACTCTTGGGTCATGGATTCAGGGGCTTCGTTTCACGCCATGGACAACGGGGAAACGATGGTGAATCTAAAAGAAGGAGATTTTGGGAAGGTACGGTTGGCAAATGACGAGATGCTTCAAGTAACGGGCATATGAGATATTGATCTGGTTACTTCATTGGGAACTACATGGAACCTGAAGAATGTCAGGGTGATTCCGGAGCTGAAAAAGAAATTGATTTCTGTTGGTCAGCTGGATAAACAAGGACTGGAAGTAAGGTTTGGTGGTGGTAAATGGAGGGTGGTCAATGGTAATTCGGTGATTGCTCATGGTATAAAGTGTGGGTCATTGTATATGGTTGAGGTACCTGCTGAGGGAAGTATGACCGTCCCTGTTAAGCAAGACAAAATCTGGTTCGCTAAATCTACGGCTAAGAGAGTTCATTTTGCAAACATGAATTCTGGAGCCAATGGGATGTTAGCTGAACGAGTCGGAAAGTCTAAACCAGTCAGGAGATTCTGTGACAGTGGGAGCACGGGGCGTGTTCCGGGTACAGTTACAAAGAGCCGTTGGGTTTTGAAGACTAAGACTGAAAAATTCTCTCCTGTTGGAAGTTTGCTAAGTTTGGAGAGTGTTAGTGGTCCTCGGTGTATCTCTGGATCCGGTGGAGTGTCCAAACCGGTTGAGACAGATGATGAGTCGGTGGCGGGATTAGCCACGGCTGAGTTGGAGCTAGTGGGAGCTTCAACTGGCCCTTCTTGTACTTGATGATGAGGGGCGGCTGCAACTAGAGAAATGAGACTAAGTTTAGCTTGTTCTTGGGAACTGGAGGCTTGGAAGACTTGGTTGTTTTAAGATTACTGAAGAATTGTTGGGTTATTTTCTCCAAGTGGGAGATTGTTGGTTGGTGGAGACCATGTGAAGAAAATACATGGAATTGGTTGTCAAGGCTTAGTGGGGGACAAATGGCAAAGTGGTTTAGTGACAATAATGGAGCTTTACACCTTGGAAAGGACTTTTGTGAGTTGTTTTATTCTTTTGCCACTTTGGTGCCATGACTATAAATAGCAGCCTTGTATTCCGGTTTTCTTGTACCTCTAGACAACAATACTTGTAATCTTATTGTTAAGCCTATAATAAATATCTCTAGTTGCGGCCCGTGGATGTAGGATTTGCACCGAATCCGAACCACGTAATATTCTTGTGTTCTTCTTGCTTTATTTTCTCGTTTCGTTTATGAGTGTGTGATAGTGTGTTTCCGCTGCGTGTACCCGGTCCGATTCCTAACATTCCCCCCGTTACGACGGCGTTAAGGCCGTCCACCTCAACCCATAACGAGCAAAAACGTCCCATACCGCATGATCTTAGGTTTTTATCAATTGATTTTCCAAAATTTCATACTTGTTTCTTGTGCTCTTTGATCATAAATTAATGTGAGGATTTTTCTAATTAAATGGATCTTACTCAGACTTGATATTGATTTTTAGTCAACGGCTTCAGCGATTATTAAAATTAAGTAACAACCTTAGATCAAAATCTCATATTGCGATTGTATATTTATGACTTTTAGTGGGGATCACTTATTTTTTTGAAGGTCCCACTAATAAGTATCACTTAATTTTTTAATTATACTCCACACTTTGTAGAGCAACTGCATAATTTTTTGAATAACTTTTTTTCTACCATTATTTTTGTTTTGCACGACATGCATGAAATTAAAATTTGTTATGACAATTTATTTTCTGCTGCAGCTTCCACAATGAACATGGCATATGGTATTTGAGTGACCTTTTGTGAACCGTTGGAATCCTAAGTCAAGTAGGACTTGGAGACCAAGTAAGAATGAGTTTTTTAAACAAGTAGGTTTAAGAGTCCTAGTCTTGTTCTACGAGTCGGTAGAATATAGGGTATATATACATTGTTAGAATCGAGTTATGATTTCAGAATGTAACACAATCAAGTTGAGTTTTGAGTTATTTTCTCAATTTATCAAAGAGTTATTTTGGTTATTTGTGTTTATTGATCTTGAATTGGTATCAGAGCCAAGGAACCGAAGGCTGTGAGATCGAGTTTATTACCAGGTCAACATGTCGGATGGTGAAGATGGTGCACAGCCTCCTTCGGTGAGAGTGAAGGAGGTTGGGACAACCACAGTCGCATGTCTGATGCTTACTTCCACTAATTATACCGTCTGGGCACTAAGGATGAAAATAGTGCTCAGAATTCACAAAGTTTGGACTTCGATTGACCCATGAACAGACGATAATGATGAAAAAAATTACCTGGCAATCGGATTGTTGTACCAAGCAATACCAGAATCGTTGATTATGCAACTGGGAGATGTCGAATCAGCTAAAGTCCTCTGGGATGCGATCAAAGCTCGTCATGTTGGGGGCGATCGAGTGAAGGAGGCCCGCCTTCAAACCCTAAGCGCTGACTTCGACAGAATGAAGATGACGGAATCAGAATCGATCGATACCGTTGTCGGAAAGCTGTTCGGAATTGCGTCTCAATCAGCAGCACTTGGCGAAACAATTGAAGAATCAAAGATGGTTAAGAAATTTCTTAAATCCTTACCGAAGAAGTTCATCCATATTGTAGCCTCTCTCGAACAAGTTCTTGATCTGAAGACTGTCGGATACGAGGATGTTGTTGGTCGCCTGAAAGCTTACGAGGAGAGGGTGAAGGAAGCGAATGACGGTGGAGAAGGATCGAAAGTCCTGTTCGCCGATGGTGGAGGTAGCTCGTCGGGAATGAAGGGAAAGGGAAAGTGGAAATGATCAAATTGGTCATCTGGGTTAAATCAGGTAAATGGGTCACACGGGTCCAATAAAGCCAAATTAGCCCAAGAACAAAAACCCAATAACAATTTTGATTTATCTCAACCCAATTCCAATAATTGCAAAAAATGTAATTGTTGTTGTGATAAAAATCGGAAAAATAGGGAAAAAGACCGATCTAAGGTGATTTGTTTTCGGTGTGACAAACCGGGTCACTTTGCCTCTGAATGTCCGGAACGACTCCAAAAATTACAAGAAGGTGATTTTTCGGAAGGTGACGACGACGACGAGTCCGTATTTTGAATACGGATCGGGTTGAAGAATTCTCTAGAAGGACTTAGAGATTCGGGGGTGATTGTTGGAATCCTAAGTCAAGTAGGACTTGGAGACCAAGTAAGAATGAGTTTTTTAAACAAGTAGGTTTAAGAGTCCTAGTCTTGTTCTACAAGTCGGTAGAATATAGGGGTATATATATACATTGTTAGAATCGAGTTATGATTTCAGAATGTAACACAATCAAGTGGAGTTTTGAGTTATTTCCTCAATTAATCAAAGAGTTATTTTGGTTATTTGTGTTTATTGATCTTGATGAACAAATAAAAATTATGTGCTCCTTAAGTTACTCCTATGCATTGTGGTTTTGTGGAAGATGAAAAATTGTTAAATTTAGATACTACATAGATGAAACAAAGATAAAATTGTACTTCACACATAAAAAATATTTTTTGGCTCTTTCAGACGTTGCAAGTGATGGGAGCAATGAAGCAAAATTGAAGCATTTTGGGTCAAGTACATGAAGAGAACATGTTCATATACAAAGTATATTGATATGTAACACATTTAGAATTTTTACATCACTTGATTTTACATGTATTTAATATGTGAATATTGTTCATTTATGAACATGTTCATTTATAAATTTATGTTCATCGAGGAAAATAGGTTCCAACAATACTTTTAATCATGATTTTGTATAAACATTCAATTATAAACATGTATAATATTGTATGAACATATATGATTTTGTATAAATGTTCAATATAAACATATATGCATATGAACGTTCAGGTATGAACATTACAAAATTTTGGGAACATTACCAATTTTTGGAGTTTTGTATAAATGTTCAGTTATGAACATATATTATCATTTTGTTACTATAAATTTGGGTTTTTGTATAAATATTTAGTTACGAACAAACATAACTAATTTATGAACACCTGAGAAATGTGTATAAACATTCATCAATGAACATGTACATTAGTTCAATTTATAAGTTTTTGTATAAATGTGCATAACTGAACGTATATATGTTCATAAATGTTCATCAATGAATTTGATGGGCATCTTCTTTTATTTGGAAAAAAGATGATCATGTCAAAATATATATACCACCATTTTTGTGAATAAACTCCATATTTAATCCATTGTAATATGTAATTTAGTCCACATCGGTATAAGTTAAAATAAGTCTTTGGATGGATTTAAATTATTAACCCGTAACTTATCAAAACTCTTTATAACTTATAGATGTCTAACATCTCTAGAAATTTTTTTTTGGTTATTTTGTCAAACACTGAAAATGATTTATCAAATTATAACGTTTTGACACCGAATAAACTAATCTAAACATTTTTCATAAACGCAGTTTTAACACTATAAGCTAATAATAAGCTAATAAGGTATAAACTTAGCCAAATACGCTCTTAAAAATGCCGAACCTGTTTAAAAATAACGTTGTATTATTAAAGGTGTAATCTTTATGAGAAGTTGAAAATATCTTATTTTGAATTAATGACGGCACCGATTACAGTTATTGAGGTCCCTAATTTTATATCGATTTAGTTTCAATGCATAACTAAAAGACATTTACAGTCCCACAACTACCACCCAACCATTCCTTTCAAAATAAATGCAGGGCCACTCCCGCCCCACCCCAGCGCACAAATATGAACTTAAGAGAGCTAATGAATTTTCCCAATTACTTCTATTAAAATTCTTTATCTTCTTTCTTTTCAAGTAAAGGCTTCTTAGTCTCAAGATGGAGATAGAAGTCGGGAGGAGCACTGGTGGTGGTGATGGTAGCCACAACGGCAGTACAATGGCGGAACATGGTGATAGTAATGACGAAGGTGGTGGTGGAGAAAGCATGGGTCGGAGTCAGAGCATGAAGGAAAGGGCAAGTTATCTGGTGTGGCAAGATCTAAGGGTGATGCTCCCAAGCTCCGGTGATGGACCAACAAAGCGGTTGCTCCATGGTCTCAACGGTTTTGCAGAACCCGGTCGGATCATGGCTATCATGGGTCCTTCTGGTTCGGGCAAATCCACACTTCTTGATGCATTAGCAGGTTTGTTCCTTGTCTTCACCAGACAACTAGTTTCTTTTTACGTTCTTTTACTACTATGAAATATACTAGCTAGTGAGATATAGTAAAAAGAAAGAAGTTATCTTTGTATTTAACTGATCTTTGCCCATTTGAGGAAAGTCCAAGATTTGAGACATGGGCAAAAAGATTTAGGGTGTAAAAAATTACTAAAACTAGTAAGTCACTTTTTTCGAAAATTTATGGTACTTTTTTAGTGTTTTTATAAGTTCCCAATCATTTAACGTGACCCCAGGATTTGATTTTTTTCTAGATTCTCTAGATCAAACTAAAAAAATTGTATTATTGGTAATTTATATAACTATCTATTAAAAAAGTATGTATTTTGTTTGCTTACACTTTTACATATGAATTACAATATCTGAATGTGTGATTTTAATTGTTTTCGATAGGTAGACTATCAAAGAATGTGGTGATGGCTGGAGATGTTCTACTAAACGGGGAGAAGAAGAAACTAACCTATGGTGTTGTTGTAAGTGACTCCATGTGTATATATCCCTTAATTGTTTTCTTGTAAATTTTATAATAAATTGATGTAAAAGAGATAATTAATGTAGGCTTATGTGACACAAGAAGATGTTCTAATGGGAACCCTCTCAGTGAGGGAAACCATCACTTACTTAGCTCATTTGAGGCTTCCACCAACATTAACCAAAGAAGAAGTCAAAGATACAATAGAGGGGACAATATCAGAGATGGGGCTCGAGGATTGTGCAGATAGGTTGATCGGAAATTGGCACTTGAGAGGTATAAGTGGTGGAGAGAAGAAAAGGCTAAGTATTGCACTTGAAATCCTCGTGAGACCACGAGTTTTGTTTCTAGATGAACCTACAAGTGGACTCGATAGTGCCTCTGCATTTTTCGTGGTTCATGCTCTAAAAAGCATGGCTCGTGATGGAAGAACAGTCATTTCTTCAATTCACCAGCCAAGTAGTGAAGTCTTTGCATTGTTTGACGACTTGTATCTTTTATCTGGAGGTGAAACTGTCTATTTTGGAGAAGCCAAAGAAGCTATTGAGGTTTGTGAATTGTGAGTAGAGTATATATAGAACTAATACGTTTGGAGAATATATATAATTGTGTGTTGTTAAAACAACATACATACTATTATTCTACATTTGTTTAATTTGTAGACTTATCTTTTGAGAAATATAAAAGCAATCAATGCAAAAAAAAAAGTATATGCAACAACCTCAATACATGTATAAACTAAAAGAATATTTTCATATGAATATCGTTATATCACGTATGTTTTAAGTGATGATAACTGTTTATAATTTTGTACAGTTTTTTGCTGAATCGGGGTTCCCGTGTCCCATCAAGAGAAATCCTTCCGATCATTTTCTACGTTGTATCAATTCAGATTTCGATGTCGTGACAGCTACACTAAAAGGCTCATTGAGAATTCAAGTATGTTTTCCTTGTCTTTGTTTATATTTAACGTATATATAGCAACTAATTAAACACAAAGGATATAGTTTTATTTTATAAGTCAAGTAATTTAAATAAAATAAACTATTCTTTTAATACAAATAAGTTTACCGTGTTCGGTTTGCGTTAATTAAAACTGGCTAGAAGGAAAAGAAATTACATGATTGCGAAGTAAATAAAAAACATGCATGTTTGTTTACTAAAAGATGAAATAAAATGAATTATTATCATTCCTTAAAGATCGAATATGTGCCATTCATTTTATTGGACCACTTTTTTGGTTTGTTTGTTATTCCGTTAAAACCTGCCGACTTGTTTAATTGTTCAATTTGAACTGGACTCGTATGATTTAGATATTTGGATTTTTATATTAATTTGCAACAAACCACATTAATGTTATGGATTTTAGATTAGTTTTGATTACTACAATGAGAACTAATAGTCCAAAATCCAAAAACAAATATTCTTTTATTTTAATATATAAAAGAAATATTCTTTTATTATTATATTGTTTATTTTTAATATATATCTTTTAATTATTAGATAAACAATTGTTTTATTCAATGTATTTTAACTATCTAAAATAGTCATACATAAAGAAGGTAAAAGTAAAAAAATCAGTTACCTTTTTGCAATAAAATTAAAATTTCTTGTATTGTTAATATATGTGATTAAATATAATATATTTCGTATGTATATTATTTCAATTTATTTTACATTTTTTTTTAAACTACTCTACCTTATATATAGATATTAAATTAGATGCCCTATCGAACCAACTCGAATCATCCACCACCCCTTTCTTCTTGTTTTTTACTTTGCCTCCATCATCCCGATCGACACCCTCCGGTAACTATCATTGTTGGCACCCTCCGATCACTATTGTCCTCCCCTTAAACATAAACTTGTTGCTGCCATTTAGGAAAAAACCTCCTCCTTCCTTTGTAAGGTATCAACCTGATGATACCTTGATGCCCAAGGAAAAAAAAGAACAACAAAGAAAAGAAACAGAGGAATAACAGGGGAATAAAATGAAGAAGAATGAACTTGTAATTACTTGGTGAAAAAGGTCTAAATTGCTTGAATTGTGGGTATTAAAATAATTTTATTTAGTTGTCCAAATATGCAAAACTAAAGCGTTAGAATAACTTAACAAAATATGAAAATGAAATCACTCAATATATTTAATTGTACCAAACAAACAATTAAAACAACCACAATCCATAGTTTAATAAAATAGTGACATTCCAAGTTGGCGTGCAATATTGACATTGAACTTTTCAATGGGTTAAGAAAAACTATTTTAACTTTAATAAAAATGTTGGATTGAACTGGAAAAAAATACTAAAAAATTAGTAAAGTTGTATGCATTGTGAATGCCCTTAATGTAAAAAAGATATATTTTCAGGTATGTTTTAGGCATGTTATTTTATTGTTATCATTGTTTAAATGTTCTCGTTTGTAGGAAAAACGAGAAGAATCAGACCCTTTTATGAATATGGGAACAACACAGATCAAAGCAACCTTAGTAGAAAAATACCGGTGGTCAAAACACGCCGTGAAAGCCCGAGCAAGAATGAAACACCTCTCCACAATCGTAAGTTCCTTCAAACTCAAAACCTTTTCGTGTTTCCATGGCTGCTTATTATTCCCATTTCCAGCGAGGACCTGCGAGCTGGGCAAATACAGCAAGCCATGCTGGATGGTGGAAGCAACTTGACACACTAACTCGACGATCGTTCGTGAACATGTCAAGAGATATGGGATATTACTGGTTGAGAATAATCATCTACTTAGTCGTATCAATATGCGTTGGGACAATCTTCTTCGATGTGGGTACGAGTTACACTGCCATTCTTGCAAGGGGAGCTTGTGGTGGTTTCATAACAGGGTTTATGACTTTCATGTCAATCGGAAGTTTCCCTTCATTTATCGAAGATATGAAGGTACGTACGCAATCATCAGTAAACTAAACCCATTTTATGTTTTTCATCGATTTTAACAATCATGCATGCAACTATATATTTCCAGATCTTTACTCGAGAACGTCTCAATGGCTACTACGGGGTTGGTGTGTTTATACTTGCAAACTTCCTATCTTCGTTCCCGTTCTTGGTGGCAGTTTCTCTAGTCACCGGAACAATCACATGGAACATGGTGAAGTTCAATCATGGATTCTCGCGCTACGCTTTCTACTGTCTCAACCTGTTTGGCTCGATTGCAGTGATCGAGAGCTGTATGATGATTGTTGCAGCTCTTGTTCCGAATTTCTTGTTTGGGCTCGTAGTTGGTGCTGGAGTTCTCGTAAGATTACATCTGAACCATTTTCATAGCGTTTCTTGTTTGAAAAACGCTAAATATACTGAATTATTTCACACAATGTAGGGGGTTATGATGATGACTTCAGGTTTCTTTCGTCAACTTCCCGATCTTCCAAAGCCATTTTGGCGTTACCCTGTGTCGTATATAAACTACGGATCATGGGCAATACAGGTATTCAAAAGATCGCAAATTTAATTAATCCGTTTGTTAAATACTACAAGTTATAGAGATTTATGTTATTTGAGCGATCGAGGATGTACTACTGGAACTAATGCAGGGAGGATACAAGAATGATCTATTGAATTTGGAGTTTGATGGGTTATCACCGGGAGACCCGAAAACCACCGGCAGGGAGGTGATAACGAAGTTGTTCCGGATGCCGTTGACTCACTCGAAGTGGTGGGACTTGTTTGCGATATATGCGCTTCTTGTGAGTTACAGACTGACGTTCTTTTTAGTTCTCAAGTTAAAGGAGAAAGTGTTGCCGTTTTTACAGTCGATGTATGCAAAGAGAACTGTACATCGACTGAAAAGGCGAGCTTCTTTCGTAAAGTTCCCTTCTTCGAGACGATACCAAAACCTTCGCACTTTGTCGGCACAAGAGGGCTTTAGTTCTCCGATCCCATAGCTCAAAAACACGGTACATTCAAAATACATAGTTGAGATAAGAATAATAAAGTAATTCAAAAACTTGTCGTACACGCATCACTTTTACAATCATTATTACACAATTTATCATGAATCACTGTATAAATCTACACTAGCTTTAACTGTGTTTTACCAGCAATTTGATGTTTCTTTCATTTGTATACCCACTTCTATATTTTGTCACAAATGAGTTGATATTGTACTAGTACAAATTCCATCCGTGAAGTTTTGATTTGGTTTCTGTTGGATATGTATAACAAGTTCTGGACTAGGCCTTTGCAAATTAACCCTATGAGGTTTTATATTACAGGTGAATAAAGTCTATGTAACTTGCATTATATATCTTTTTTAATAATCATGATATTTCCATCTCTAGAACCCATTATTTTCCAGTTTTATTTTGTATTAATATTCAATTTTTGAATAATATCGGTTAATGGAAAAAATAAGTTACGAAGTTTCTCTCATAAAACCCTTGTCTTCCTAATAATTATCGTAGCATCCCGTTTTAGAGGTAAGTTAAATATTAATTGACCTTTCAATTATCGAAATAAGGTATTATTTTGACCTTCGTTAGCTAGAAATTAGCTAAGGGTTAATATAGTAGTCAGACTACTTTGTTAATTCCACTAGAAGTAAAATTTTACTGACAATTAGTGGCATAAGAAAAAATATTGAAAACCAAGAAAATGTCATTAAAAATCGTTTCCCTTAAAGGTTTAATTTTTGTGGTACTGGTACCTGTTGGTCTTGCTTTGCGGTTTTTTTTTCTTTTGCTATGCGACTCCAGCATAATTATTAGATTATAGATAGCACTATTAGATGATATTTTTCTTTGTCACTAATCTAGTTAAAATAAAATCATTATCCTACTTTTACCCGCATACTTTCACTACAAGAATTACCACCTTCGCCGGCAACATCTATACAGACGACAAGTGTCGTCGGTACAGAGTTGACCACCTTTCTTTGACCTTGAACTTTATGCCGACGATATATCGTCTGAATAGGTTAGGCGGGAACAAAAAGTTTTTCGCGGTCTTCTGAAAACGTATGCTGACGACATGTCGTCGATATATGTCACGATACCGTTTTGGGAGAGCTATACCGACGACACGTCTTCTCCATGCCACGCTGGCAATCCGAGTGAAATGGCTATCCCGACGACTTGTCGTCGGTACAACGCTCTATTTTTTTCCCAGCAATTAAACAAAACGACATAGTCTTGGGTACCATATACCGATGACTTGTCGTCAGCATAGGGTTTAGCCCCATCAAGACCAACGACTGCGTCATTTCACTTCCGATTTCTCTCTTTCTCTCTTTCCGTCGACAACCAAATCTCCTCCGGCCACTCCCCTTCGCCGGCAACTAGCAAGTATGCTTCTTGGTCCTTCTATTCTTCCTAATTTTGTGATTGGTCAATGTTTTTACTCCGGTTTTGAGGTTCTTTTTTTTTTTCCGATTGTAGCTTTCACCTCCGATATTGGGGTATTATTTCTGATTGCAACCTTCATAGCCTTCATCATCGCCAGCCCTTCACCACCACCGGCCTCTACAACTAGCTACACCGGTCATTTTGAGGTAAGATTCCATTTTTTTGGGGCAAAAATTGGCAGAATATTGTTTTGTGTTACTTGTTTTGGCATGAAAATGAAATTGAACATGATTTGTTTGATTTTGTGTTTAGATGTGTATATATTTGGGCAAAAATGGGCAAAAATGGGCAGATTTCTGTTTTGTGTTATTTGTTTAGGCCAATGTTTCAAAAACCGGTTTGAACCGATTGGACAGAAAATCGAGGGAGGGAGCGGTTCAACTATCATCGGTTTTAAGTCGATTTCTGATCCGGATTAAACCGGCCGGTTTTTAGAAAAACCCGGTTGAACCGGTCAAAATTAACCGGTTGAACCGTTAAACCGAATAAAAATACATGAAAAATAACCAATTACATAATAAACTTTGATCATTTTTTTTTTCAAATTTAATTAGTTTTCTCTAAATAAAAACACATGGTAAATGTTATAATTTTTTTTGATGTATTTGTATTCATCTAAAACTATATTTTGTTTCGGTATTATACTTTTTTTTGACGTATATAGATTAATATAAAACACTAAAACTTATGGTTATGTATTATTTTAATGTATTTGGATTGATCGATAACTTATTTTTATATGTATTTTTAATGTTTGAACTTGTAAACGTCAAATTCATGATTTATATATGTATGTATGTATGTATAGAAAAATAGCAAAAAAGATGAAAATTATAGAAACCGATTAACCCGACGGTCGAACCGGGAAACGGTCACTATACCGGTTCAACTAAAAAACCAGTTTTTAAAACATTGGTTTAGGCATGAAAATGAAATTGGGCATGATTTGTTTGATTTGTGTTTTAGGTGTGTACATATTTGTATGGAATTGGAATTGGATGTATTATAGACATGTATGAAATTGCATAATTGTATGTCTCATTTGAGTAGATGTATTGTATACATGTATGAAATTGCATAGATGCATTGCATAATTGTATGTCTAATTTGATTTTGTGTTTAGATGTGTACATATTTGTATGAAATTGAAATGGAATTGGAATTGCATAAAGTTATGAAATTGGAATTGGAATCGGATGTATTGTATACATGTATGAAATTGGAATTCGAATTGGATGTATTACATGTATTGTATGTCTCATTTAGATGTATTGCATAACTGTATGGAATTAGAATTGGATGTATTGTATACATGTATGATTTTGTTAGATGTTTAGGTTTATTAGTTTGAGTGCAGGTAAGATTAAGTGATAAAGTGCTTAATTAATAAGTGTTTAATGTGTTGTGTAAGTGAACGCTTAACGAATAGTTGATATTGTTTGTATTATAAGGTGCTTAATAGGCTAGTGCCTAATATCATTTTATTTAGTTGATAATATCGTTTTAAAGTACAATGTTATCATAGAAAAAACAAAAATAGGATGCTATAAATATGAAAAAGAAGTGAAAATAGAATGTTTTAATAAACAAACTAACAAAAGTACGTTGCTATTAAAAAAAACCTAACTACAAAGGTTATTGATATCAATGTACTTTTATTAGTTTGTTTATAAAAACATTCTATTTTCATTTATATTTTATAATAGAAAACCAAAAAATAAAAGTATATTTCTATTAAAAGTACGATGCTATAATAGTAAACAAAAGTATGATGCTATAATTAACCAACAAAAGTATGACATTATTAATAACAAAAGTATGAAAACATGCTGAATCATTGATTTTTAGTTTAAGTCTCTTCTTCATAATCATCAAGAGCCTAGAAATACATGCCTGAAATTGATTTAGAAATTAATTTCGGGATTTCCCCGTTTTGGGACTACTTTTTGAATACTTTATCTCAATTGGAATGTGAATGTGTATTGCATGATTGTTTGTTAATAAAAATTTGGTTGTCATTTTCTCTTTGCTCCTCAGGTAAATATTTCTTTATATACTTGGGAGCTAAGGCGAAATGCTGCCAAATTTTTCTCAAACAAACAGTCATGGAATACACATTCACATATGAGATAAGGTATTCAAAAAGTGGGTTTAGAGGCCTACCGTTGTGAATATTCTATCAATTCTGTCTGATTTTTACTTCTCGAGTATATATTTCTTTATATACTTGTGAATACTCTATACATTTTCGGGTATATATTTCTGTATATAGCCTAAATACAATCTAACTTTTGATAACTATATATACAATATAATTTTCAATAATAAAACATCAATGATGATCGGTAAGAGTTGGATTTGAGAGAACCGAATGTCTTCAAAATACTTGGAAGGTTTAATGTGACAATCCTATGAATTGAAGGCTACTTGTTCAAGTGGGAGATTGTTCGAAATGGGTGTCTATAACACCCATAAATTTGGGCTAGTCAATTTGAATACTATGAATGTTAAAGTCGACTTTTGATAGAAGATTATTTAGGATAAATAATCTTAACCAAAGTTATAGTATATGTGATAAGGATTCTACACATATAAAGAACGCCTAAATCTGACTTCGTGAGAGGAAGTTATGATTTTTCTAATACTTCAGCGTAGGAGTATACGACTCGGAAACCGAAATTGAAATCGGTCGATTGTTATGAAAAACAATCTAAACGAGAGTTTAAGATCTCGTCAACACCCATCTGTCGATATAAAGACAGTCGAGAACGGATATCATATGAGAGGGTTATGAATTTTTAAATGACTTTAATAGTCTAAACCTGTTAAAAATATAACTTTAAAAATGAAGTCAAAATTAGCCGACGGAGTCTAAATGAAGGTTGTAGATCTCGTCGATAGCTACATATAGATATAAAATCCGTCGAAAACGGAGCTCGTGTGAATTTGTTATGAATCTTCTAAGAATTCAAATTTTTCCGTGTGCACAAACAACATGAACGACGCTCACTGACATTCCACTAGATGCTTGACATGTGGCACCATGCAGAGAGTGACACGTCACCTTGGCCGACCCGATGCGCGGCGTGCAGGGGACATGGTGCTCGGCGTGCACCCTTTTCAATCCTATATAAACCCTGCGAAATCGTTCATTTCTCCTCACACCTCTCACCAGAATCTCTCTGGAAGTCTTTCTAACTTTTAGCCCTTTTACTCCTGAGTTTTTGGCCACTTTGGCAAAACCTTGCGGTGTCAGATAGCCGACAATTAGGAGATCTCAAGTCAGAGTTATACTCGTTTAATTCTCAGTTTTCATCAGTGTGCTCCGTAGGCTACACTTATTTTATTTAAGCGTAACTTTTAATTATAATCATAGTCGTTATTATGAACCTATAATTAAGATTTTTCAATAAATCCAATGTGGTATTACTAATTGATCTACTTACGGGGATGATGTCTAGGTTGGATTTAGTGAGGTGTTTAAAGTGGGATTTCCAAACAGTGTAATCTGTATACCAAACAAACCCTACCTCCGATATGATCATACATGCTTGTTCCTTACTTGATAGATCTTGATGTAGACATTGGGATTAGTGAGGAATCTAAAATATCATTAGTCGCTAGGAATATTAAACTAAGACTTAGTGACATCCGTATCTAGGTCACGTTAGATGAAAACTCAAGGAGTTTGGCGGAGCACTGCCGAATTCTCCGGTCACCCACCAAAGTCAAGTGAGTGCATAGTCTCTTTCATGAACATGATTTTAATACAAGTATTAATTAGAGTATTAAATATATGTTAGAAAGCTTATATGTGAGCTATATGCTTATTTCATGGTATATGTGTTAGATATGTATTTGAGAATATGCGATATGCGAACCAGATATGACTATATATATGTTAAAGGGTATATATCTATTATTACATGATAACAATAATAGAAATATTATTATAGAAAAGGATAAAAGTATATACTTTGTGTTAGATATGTACAAAAAGATTGTCTAAACAGAGTTGGTATTAGGAACCTAGTAGTTTTTCCGGTTAATAAGGTAAGACTTATTATAGATACCTAGTTCAATTAAGTTTGATATCGGGTACTCTTATTAGGGATACGTGTGAGTAGGTTAGAACCAAGAGTAGAGTTCTTCTCCTAGACACTTTTAGGTGTTGATTATACGAAATAGGTACCTGAGTACAAATCGTATTCCTTCTCTGGTGACCAGAAATGATGGGCCCAGATCAGACAATTGTAACGATATGCCTGCTTATTTTCTTGGGTGACCAGAAATGGTGGGCCCAGATTAGACAACTGTAATGGTATGTCTTCTTATTTTCTTGGGTGACCAGAAATGGTGGGTCAAGATCAGATCTGCATATTCTAAACAGTTCATTTGGTGAGTTAATTTCCTGATAATCGTAAACTAGGATCTGTGAGGATCGATTAGGGATCATATATATGCATCTGCCACCAATCCCAGCGTATGGATTAGGCAGAATCATCCTTCCCTGGTCTGAGAGTATGGATTAGGTATAGTCACCCACCACTAATCTAAGAGTATGGATTTGTGTTAGATGTCATTTTATGCATCTTTTAGGGTAGTTTTCATTAGCATTTTGGATCATATATTGTACATTTGCATGTCATTTATTTAAATAATGTTCAACTCATGTATTTCGGTAGAAATCATGTACTGCTCATGTTTTTATGTCAATTTCAGATAGTTCGAGTGGAGTAGTGCTTTGGGAGCCGTTGGATGCGCGTTTGGAGCTTAAAATTGAGCTTGGAACTTATGAAGGATTATGAGGAATTATTGGAAGTTGTTTTGGTCAAGAAAAATTTGATCTAATTGATCACACGAAGATAGAATCTGCAATCTGAAGCTAAAGGATGTTGCTGGCAGCTTTGACTATCTGTCAGTATTTTGACCATATCTCATGAACCGTAACTCTGATTGACACGATTCAAAATGTTCTGAAAAATAAACGAAATTTCGGATGTCTTAGGAAAAACATGAGATTGCAACTCTTGTCCATGCGATCACATGGAGCCTTTATGCGATCGCAAATTTGCTCGCAACTTGTCTTCGAGGTTTTTTAGTGCCAAAAATTCATCTGTAAGTGAAAAATCAAAACATGCGATCGCAACCTATGTACATGCGATCGCAACTTTGCCAAAAAGTGTCAAAATAGCTTCCTACTTCATTAAAAAGGTCTGTGACGCGTTTTCTTGAAAACCTGCGATTGCAGCCTCAATACATGTGATCACATGTTTCGATAATCTTGTTCTGGAAGCTTCCACCTTGAGTATCAATACAACCATCATAATCAATTGTAAGAGTTTGACGATTCCAGATTAGGAAACCACTT